GCTGCCTTCTTCCTTCCCGGGCAGCTTCTCCGGAGCACCGGCCGCTGCGGCCGCAGAGAGCCAGGCCGAGGCCTGCAGCAGGAGTGGCAGCCAGGCTGGAGGCCAGAGAGGCGAGGCCAGCACGGAAGCCCCACCGCTCCGGCTCCGTCCCCCCCAGCCCGCCGGGAGCGCGTTTAAGGCACCTTTCTGTACTCCAAAGCAACTTCACGCATAGGAGAAAGGGCATAAGGCAAACCTGTGATTCCAGAAGAGAATGCAGAAGGCACCGTTGCTAGGAAGTAGCAGGCAGGGAAGGCTCACAGAGGCCTCACGGGAGCACTTCCCGGGACAGAAACGAGCGCTGGGCCCCCATGGATCCGCCACAACGCACACAGAGGAGGATCCCGGGGGGGGGGGGGGGGGGCGGGGGTTGGGGGGGGGGGCCCGAAAAAACAACGGGGGGGGGGTGGGCCCCACAGGCCCCACATTAGCTACGGGCCTTTTTACCTGTGCAGCTCAGTGTATCAATATATAGCTTCCTTCATAGGGTAGCTTCTGGCTTTGTGTTCTGCATTGGGGCAATGATGCAGGAGAAAAGAGTTGAGTCCCCCTGCTCCAGCACTGTGTCCTCGAGCTTGAATCGGGGTTGCTTGTAAGCTTGGGGGGGGGGAGAGAAAGGATGACCCATTCACAGAACCCCTGTGATCTTATTCATTTATTTGTGCATATTTATTTATATCTCTGTTCTCCCAAGAGACCCAAAATGGCTTATAGAAAGTTCCAAACCAAATTGAACAATATGATTTAAATAATCAATAGAGACAAAAACAAATAGGCCCTGGGTCCTGCTTCTTGTAACCCCCCCCACCACCACCCTTTGACAGCCCTTATACATGCAAGCAGGAAGGAGAGGAAAACACTGAGATGTTGTAGAGTTGAAAGGTTCCCCTCCATAATTTCCCTTCCAAATGCCTCTCAGAATCATATCTATCTCATTTTTGTGTCTATGTAGGACCTTTAAGGCAGCTTTAAGCAAAGGGATGGAATAAAGCAATAAAAATGACAAAAAAAGGGAATAAAGCTATAAAAATGACAAAAAGTGTAATGCAGATCAGCTGTAAAATGCAGCAGAAGAATAAACCCAGTCAACAATAGCAGCAGACAACAACTGCATGCTGAACCAGTAAGGTCCTGATGGAGTGCTGGGAAGGAGCTCTCTAGGTTTCTTGGGACAGAGAGTTCTGGAGACTGGGTGCAGCACCTGAGAAACCTGTACCCTGTGTCTAGCGGCTGTAACGTAAGACTGGGATGGAACACAACCCTCAACAGCCAAGCCCTGAGAGCCGGAAGCTCCCCGGACGGAAGGCAAGGTGATGAAGCCGCCCTCCACGGAGTCAGGCCCCTGGGCAGTGTTCCCGCTAAGCTGAGACAGCCGAGCCCTGAGAGCCGGGAGCTCCCCGGACGGAAGGCAAGGTGACGAAGCCGCCCTCCACGGAGTCCGGCCCCTGGGCAGTGTTCCCGCTAAGCTGAGTCGGTGTGAGCCAGCTCACAGTTTTTTTAACCTCCGGCTCACACATTTTTGCCTCTGCTCAGGAAGGAGGGCTCCGGAGCAAAGTGATTTAAGCAGCAGCCAAACCGCTTGCTCACGACTTTAATGCCCGTAGGAGCTCACGAACTAGAGTTTTTGCTCACAGGACTCCACGGCTTAGAGGGAGCCTTGCCCCTGGGCCATCCAGGCAGATCCCCCCCCCCCAGATGCCTGGGGTCACCCCTGGACAAGAGGCCTGTCTGGTTTTGCATGGAAAGGGTGGGGTTTGCCACTCGCCCCCCCCCAGGATACGAAAATGCTCTCGAAGGCACGGCCCGCCCCTCGCCACCCGTTTGCGAAGCAGCCACAGAAGATCCGGAGCCATTCTTTGGGGCTCAAGCTGGACTGGGGAGCTTACGGGGGAAATGGGCGTGGCTCTTCGGCACATCACGCCCCATCTTTTGTGAGCTTCCCCCCCTGCAGAGGGCGAAGGTCACGCCAGAGCCGGCTGGGACAGGCCCTCTTCTGCGGGTGAAGACAAACGCAACACTGCTTTGCTTTTTTGGGAGAACCCTCGCAAACCCTCCTGGGGGAAAGAGCTCCTGCACGTTTGCCGCAACCACCTGGTCTTGGCACAGTAGGCAGGGTGGCCGCTAGCGCCTGTGAGGTCACCCAGGAGCCCAATTCCCCCGAGCGGCCTTCTATTTTGGGGAGAAAAAACACACACCCAACTTTTTAAACTAACAGGGCCAAAACAAATAGATGAACATCCAGGCCAGGCTTTTCAGTAGTTACATTTTTTAGAGCAGTTTAGGGCCACATAGCGTTTATACTCCCTTTCCCTGAAAGAACCATGGCGATTTGTGGCCACCGATGCGCTTCTGTCCCCGCAGAATCAGGGAGTCTGGCACACTTCCGAGGCCCCCGACCTGTACCCAAATGACTCAGCTACTCTGGGGCGTGAGTGAGCCACCCATTCTACACCAGGACTTCTGAGGGCGCAGTCTTCCCCAAGTCCTCAGGGCCCGGGCAGGGCACACCACAATACTTCCATCACAGCACCAAAGGCTCCGACACACAGGGGGAGGGCTGGGGGCGATCTGTATCTCAAGAGCCACAATCGAGCCTGACCACGTGGCCATAGCCGAGGGGGGTTCGCTTCACCCGCCCTCCTGACAGGTTACCTCTTCCGGCTTCCCCTCCTTCCAGTCTTGGAAGAACCTCCATTTCTTCTGGGAGCAGCTCCTGGTGATCGGGCCGTAGCTGTTGATGATCAGATCGGTGCCCCCCTGGGGGAGAGAGGGAGGGAGGGAGGGAGGGAGTCACCTGGCTGTACTCCAAGAAGAGCCCAGGACAGAGGGTCAGGGCAAAGGGGCCCCTGGGCTGGCACCCTGTCTCCACCTGTGGGTGGCCAGACGCCTCCAGGAAGCCCGTCCGTGGGGGGGGGGAGGCCAAAGGCCCCCCCCCCTGGCAGCTGCCTTGGCCCAGATCCAGAGGGAGGCGCTCTTCTGGGTGGCTGCACCTCAAGCGGAAGGGGCCGGACACGACACCCAGGGCGGTTCAAGGGGTCGGGGCGCCCTCCTCAGGCGAGGAGAGGCGAAGGAGGCCGGGTGGGTCTCTCAGCAGGTGACCAAGGGAGAGGAGAATGTGAGAAAGGCTGGGGGGGCAGCGAGAGGAAACGTCTTCGTCTCCTCCCTCTCCCGTAACGCGGGGAAAGAGGGACACCAATGAAACGAATCATCCGGGATGAACCAAAGAAGGCGTTCCTGCAGACTGCTACAGAACGGACTGACTCTCTCTGCCACAGGATGCAGTGACAGGTCCTACCTTCTTACCTGGCCGTAAAAGGCAACAGAACCAACTCACTCTGAGTGGCCCTCGGCCATTGCGGCCACGAGGGATCCCCACCCCACCCCCCACCCTGTTCAGAGAACCAACCGACAGGAGGGGGCTATTCCGGCCTCCGGGCCCAGCTTGCAGGCCTTGCAGGGGCAACTGGCGGGCCCACGGAGAGTACAAGGACAGCCGTGGGACCCAGCAGATCTCCGTACACTCCCTTAAGAGGCAAAGGGTGCTGAATAAACAGGCGGAGGAGAGCCCCGCGAGGAGCCACGGCAAGCACACAGACCCGTCCACTTGGCAGCCCTGGCTGGCTGGAATGTGG